AACTCCGAGCCAACGCCGCAAAGGGCAAACCAGAGAGGTGCCCGCATGCGCAGCGTCAGCAAGTTAGGAAGGGGCGCCCACCGAGGCCGCGTCCCAACGTGGCCGGCGCGTTCGTCTCCGCCGAAAGCGCGTGCGTAGTCGCCAGATGGGCAACCCCCAACGAAACAGGCCCGGCACTCACAACACCCGCGACTCCGTCGCGTTCAGGCCATCCCACAGGCAACGCCGCCACAGAGCAGTGCAGAGCAGAGCAGAGCCACGGCACGTGACAGGCGCGGCGGGACCCGCCCCACGTCGTTCGCCCGACGCACGCTACGCCACAAGCGCGCCATCCGGCGAAAGAAAGCTGCGCAACACGGAGACAGGCAGAGGGTCGATCACGAAGCCAACCTTGGGCCAACGCTGTCGCAAATAAGCGGCGCCGCGTGCCACGCGTATCTCGCTTGCCGCGAAGCTCAAGGAAGGGACCACGCAGCCAGCCCAGTGGCACAGAGAGGGGGGCGTCGCCAGAAGGATCATGGCGTCGACGCCGACGCACAGCAAAGAAGCGCTCAGTATGTAGAAGCTTTAGAACGGATTCCCGTTGATGAAGCTGATGCCAACAAAGCCGAAGATGGTTGAGGGTTATCAGAAAAACACTATCAAAAGCGCGATCACTACCCCACGGTTTGTCGGTAATACTTTCAATAACTTTACCAGATGCGCCCAAGCTGAAGAGGGCTGAGTGCAGGGACTGAGTCAGCTGTTGCAAAAACGGCGTTGCGCTTTTGTTCCTCTCAACACGGCAGACGAATACACGTCCAGAGAGCAAAGCACCAGCCACAAAGATCAGGGAAGCCGTCATGGAGAGGAGGCGTACTCCCAAGCGTCCCTGTAAAGCGTCAAAGGAAAGGGGACACAGCAGGGGAAAAGAAAAGACCGAATATTATTCTCGTTGTGTTGATTAAAAAGAGGGCCCTGTGAAGCGGGAGTTACTTTTTGCATTAGAGCTCCGGGAACTAAATTTGAAGAAGAAAAGAAAAATAAGGGCAAGTAAATACAGCAGTAAGCGTGCCGAACGCCAGAGCTTCAAGTTGCTTCCGCCCAAGCCAAATGCCCTTTGCCCCCTAACAAGGCCAAGAGCTCGACGCACCCTCTTCTCTTCCGGTCACGCCCTCGCCGGTAATCCCCAACGCAGAGGATTCTTTGGTTGACGAGCTTCAAGTCGGCTATTGTTGTTGTCCGGTTTGCTGTGCGCGCGTTAGACTCCTCCCTTGGCGCGGTGCATGCGCCTCCCCTGCCTTGCCCCCTCAGCTGCGGGATGCAAAACGGGCGCGGAAGCCAACACCGGAGAAGAAGCAAAAGTAACAGCAAAAAGGTAAAAGAAAAAGAAAAAACAAAAGACAATCAAACGGCCGAAGCCGGTGAGGTGCTGGTTGGTAGCGCGCAGTTGTAATAGATGCGGGGGCGGCGTAGACGCTGCACCTCGAACTACTCGCCTACCGCCCCAGCTTTTGTTGAAAGCACGACACCGCGAAAGCAAAGGCGCCCGGCGCTCACGGAGGCGGCGCCAGCTCCTCGTCGCCCCCACACTGGCACGACTTCTCATCACCCTGTCTTGGCGGCTCCGCAAACATGCGATTCTGGAGGGAGGTAAGAGCACCGTCGAGGCCACCAATGAGCAGGCAGTTCACACGCTCCGCCGCCAAGAAGACACGAACGAACTCGTTCCTACGCCCCCCAGCTGCTTTCGTCCCCCGATCCGTCCTCATGCAACGGACAACCCGTGACACCGGGCCACAGGCAAAGAAATTGATAACTGAACCGCAGGAAGCGGCTAACAAACTTCCCACAAATGATACATGCGCCACCCAACTATCACACTGCGCCACTGCGTAGAGCGGGATAAAATATTCCTCCGCCGCCCCTTGCAATTCAGTTGCCTGCGACGACACTGCTTCCTTCGCGCCCCAAATATATATCATGCCATCCCACCCACCCGACGCCAGAATTCCCCTGTGCTCATCCGTCGCTAGGGAGCGTATAGGTGCACTGTGAAATTTGCCGCGTCGCGAGAGCAACTCACCTTTATTCAAATCCAGCACCAAAATCTGCTCCCTAGAGGAGGCAAAAACGTGATGATGATACGCGGCAAGGCAGCGTACAGGGCACAAAGTAGCAATACTCTTCTCCAGCACCGTTTGGTAGCCGTAATTCAGTTTCCAGACATTTAGCAAGCCGTCCTCACCACAAGAAACAAGCGTCAACCGCTCCGGCAGTAGTAGTAGATCATGGACAAAGCCTTCATGCGCGCGCAATTTGCAGATAAGAGCAAAGAAACCTTGGCGGCTGTGACCCACCGCGACACAACCATCATGTCCAACTGAAAAAATATGCTTCGGTGTAACAGACACGGCTGTAACACAGTTTGCGTGTCTACGCTGCGTCACAAGCCGAACTAGCGATGGCAAATTATATACTGTCATCGCACCACTTTTTCGTCCTGCTGCACATACACCGCTTTCTTCGTCGTAAGCGAGGCACAACACCGCGTCCCCTGCAAAACTACGCCCTGTGGAGTATGACTCACCCCCGTGGGCGTCGTACGCAACATCCTCCTGGGAAACTACAAACGTCCCACACTCAATCCACCGCTGCTGCGCGTACAGCCCGAGGTACAACTCAAGGATTTTCAGGTTATAATAGTTTGCCTCAGAAGCCAGCGCGTGCAATTCCCTGGAAGACATATGACGCCAATTCGTCCGTGTCAACTGTGCCATGACGGCCGCCTCATCCACTTCATTTATCTTTTCATCGTGCGCTTCGGGTGGTTCTTTAAACGATCTTTGAAGGTCCGCCCTCAAACGCAAATAAGACAGAACTTCCCCAAAGAGATCAGGCGACCGATCCACAAAGATGGCCCCAGAGCCATCGCGCTCAATCTTCAGCCACTCGCTCGTCAATAATGCAAGCATGCTATCAGGCACAGCACAGAGTGTGCGGCGAGGCACCGTAAAGCCCCTTCCCCCAACGTTAAGGGACAGCAGCTCACCCGCCAGACTCACGTCCGCCAGCAATTGGCGCACCCGCCGACGCTGCTGCTCCACTTCGCTTAGACGACGCCGGACATCTCTCTCCTCCTCCGTGAGGCGCGCCTCTAAGGACTCGTGCATGTAGCGCACCAAAGTGGCAAAGAACTCTTCCTTGGGCAGGCCAGCAACGCGGCTTGCCCCCTCAGCATCGAAGGCCATCATACCGTCCAGTCGGGGCCCAGTGGTATCGGCAGCGTCATTGTCGCCAGACATGCCCTACTGCACCAACAAGAAGAGTAAAAAGAACGAAAAGATGCATTCCTCACCTCCACCCCGCCTCCACCGGAAGCGCGGCAAAAAAAAAAGGGAAAAATATAGAGCTCCTCGCAGAAACGGAGCAGGCAAAGGCAGAAACGGCGACTCTCTCTTCGCATCCGCGGCGCCGCCTTACTTCACCCACAGTCCAAACAATGGTGGACGGTGGGACCGAGAGGAAACAAATGCGACAAACGACAGGACGATTAAACCGCAACAAGCAAAACAGGAGTCGACAACGCGAGATTGGGAGTTTGAGGTTACCACACTGAACAAGCAACAAAAAAATGGGAGAGAAAAGGCGAGGCGCATCGCTTCACCACAAAAACGTCAGAGCAGATCCATTCACCCAAAAACAGTAGGCACACCAACCCATTCCCTTTCCGTCGTGGCCGCATCCCGCCCCATACAGCGCAGCTTATGAATACAAAGTCACACATACGCGCATCAAAGAGAGGTGGAAAAAGAAAAGTCGCATAGAAAACACCTACAACTCACAATTAGACCGTCGAATAGTCATATGTCGTCTCCCAAAAGAAGCTGACCCAAACTTTACACTTCAATAAATGTCGCCGTCACTTCATCAGCTTGAAAGAAAAAAAAACCGATCTCACTAACCAAAAAGATATGAGATTCTAACAACAGTTATTTAGACATAGATAAACACGAAAACCAGAGGCATAAGCACACAAGACCTTCGGTGGCACAAGACGCCACCGCGGCGCCCAACCTCCCACGCACACCACCCCCCACCGTGCAGAAAACGGTCGAGCCGCACAGCCGACAGCCACAAGAGGCCGCCTGCGAAGCCGTAGACCTGCGCAGGGCCACCCCTGCAGGCATGGTGCGCACGGCAGGGACGGAGTCGGCGGCGTCAAAGCCACTCCCCAGCGCCGCAACTGCAAACCACGCCCACGCAGCACCTGCGCTGGGGCTACCGCAACACGCAGCACGTACAAGAATAATGCGCACGGCTAGTACAAAAAGGGACACCGTGATGGGGATTCGATCTTCCGCCATGCGCGAGTGCGACCAGACCTCGAAGTAACTCATCCCCAGCCGACCCACCGCACTCCCCACGCCGCTCAGCACCGTCAACAGTGTTCTCATCGTGCTGTCCACCTCCTCACCGGCAAGGGC